ATTCTGTCTCTTGCACGTCGAAAATGGTAGAGATGAGCCCTGACTTCCCAACATCCATTGCTCTACATTCGCAGCTTGAAGTCATATCCTGGAGACCACAACTGAGAAGAAGCAAGAATTCCCGACTCACTAAGCCCTTTGTAGTTCTCAGTGGTAGGTCTCAAACTCACGTCGCGTAGGGTATCTCAGGCTCCGCTCTGAAGACATACATAACGGCGAGCATTTCTGAGGCTGGTGAACGCACGGGCCAGGGCGAACGTCACCCCATCTCCACCTCCATCTCTGTACATAGACCCAACCAAGCCACTCCGCCGACTGCATCCCTAAGTCTATACTCCTCCTCGGGCCTTAGACTGAGATAGCTGTTCCCGAGAGAGATGGCTTCGTCGACAAAGTCTCCCCAAGGTCTCACGGAGATTCCGGCTTTCTACCGTGTATTCTTCACGACGGTCGATCCCCTCCTCTGTCTCTGGGCCGCGTACATGGACTTCTTCACGCCAGATGTGGTGCTGAGTTCGCACATTCCCTTTCCCTCTTCTGATGAGGGCCACCGCATGCTCCTCGCCCAGCGCGGCGGCCTCCTGCTCTGTCTTGGTTTCCTCTCCGCTGTGCTGTTGCGCTTCGCCCCGGACATCAGGGTTTGGCATATTTTGGAGGTGGGGCTGCTGGTGTCGGATTTCGCCTACTTCTGGGCGGCGGGTGGGGTTTTGAGGGCGCAGGGGAGGCTATGGCCCGAGGCGTGGAGGGGGGAGGATTGGGGCAGTTTGGGGGTGACGGGGTTGGTTACGTTGGTTAGGTTGGGGTTTTTGGCGAGGGTTGGGGGGTTTGGCGAGGGAGAGGTGGTGGAGGAAGGGGAGAAGAAGAGGAATTGAGGGAGAGGGTGCGAAGGGGAGGAGTGATGATGGCGTGATGGGCTTGATGGGGCAGATCGAGTGACCAGCAATTGCAGAAGCATGGATTATGGCAGACGCGATGGGTGCGTATCTTGTAATCCCATGTACAGGATAGTATAGGACAAAACGAGGAGTTCAAGACGGATCGATTGATGTGAAGAGGGGTTGGGACGATTCAAGAGGGGTTGTGACGAGGGTTATGACGTTATAGGATCTCCGTGGCCTCCAAGTGGTAGTGAAGGTCAGGGTCAAGGTCTGCACGTGATTTAATACTACTTAGAGGCCACTGAGATCCTCACAAAGTCATTCTGTCTTGCCGACTCTCCTTCCTAGGCTTCCTAATTGGATTTTTTTGACAGGGAGGGGGGGGGGGGGTCCCAAGACTTATGCAGAGCACCCATATTAAGAACGAGTATAACGAAGGGCGGAGACGGCTGCGTTTACTAGGCCGGTCGAGGCGGCGGCTGTAGGAGAGCGAGAAGAGTGTAGGGACGACGGTGGAGTGAACGGTGAAGTTTGTAGACGGAGGGTTCGCTGGTGTCGTGGCTGCGGTGGCGGTGGTGGGCGCGTGGCATGTTGATGTAGATGCGTCCGAAGGTTTTATGGGTATTCATGTAGCTATAAAACGGTGCCGGGTCCGATAGAAGAGACGTGTAGAAGCGGAAGCGAGAGCGTAGGAGCGATGGATAGGTGGTGGCTTAATAGCTGCGTCCGGTGCTGCTGGTTGGTCTAGGTAATACGGCGGTTGCCATGGGTTTGTAGAGCGGGCGGATTGTGTACAGAGGCATGTTCAGACTACTCTACCTATGAGTTTTTCTTGCCTGCAGGCTGAAACTCCAACAAGGTCACGAACAGGGAAGCAGTTTTTGAAGTCCAACCTATATTGATATGTCGGTACATATAAGTTGTGCAGGTAGTAAGAGTCCAATCGTGCAATAACGAGCAGGCGTTCCACCATCCACTACCGTTTATCCCACCACCAGACACACAGTCAAGTCCTCACAACAAAGTCCATATCAAGAACAGCACATCGAGAAGTTCTCAGCCGGCAAGTTGGGGAACAACTTCCATCTTGACGCTGTGCAAGATATTGGAGCATATAACGATAGCCGCTGAGAGCAGATGAGCTGCAGATGTGAAGCCTGCAGAACGTGTCAGTGCATGTAAAGAGAGTACGAGTTGCAAGTTCCAAGCAGAAGGGTGGTGCAGTCAGAGAGAAGATAATCTCGTCATAAAGTGCCACAGTGGATCAAGGAGTCCAACCGCAGAGCAGTCTAACATCCCCAACTCAAGCCCGGCTCCTTCTGACGTATGAAGCAAAAAACAGAAGACGATAACACTTAAACTAACCGGAATCGATAATGCTATCTCATCATTGCATAATACCAACAAACAGAGGGGATATACTTACTTCGTTCGTCAGAAAACCTGGACTCCACCACTACCAGCCTGTCCTGCACACGCAGTTTCCGGTAAGGACTATCCTCGCCGCAGATCACTCTTCTTAGGTTGTCTGATACTGTAAGTACATGTCTGGATAAATACGGCGAAGCTGAACTTACGTGACACAGTCAGCAAGGGAAGACTGCTTAGGTTGGGCGGGCATCTTCGCGGCGCTTACGAGGAGGTCAACATGGATGGGGCGGTTGTCGATCGTGACGCCGTTCAGCAGACACAGAAATAAAAATGCTCATAGATAGATACTCACCAAGAACTGCGTACCGAAAAGCCATCAGCCAGTCTCGACGACCAGCCTATCCTGGGTATGCATGCGCACCGAGAAGTTCTAAGGCGGCCTGGACCCCGCCCTGTCCTGGGTGCGCACTCATACCGAGAAGTCCTCAGCCAGTCTCCACCATCGACCGGCCTGTCCTGGGTATACCGAGAAATCCTCGGCCAGTATTCAACCACCAGTGCTCTCGGTACGCAGTTCTTGGTATGACGTTTCCTCGGACCAAATCGACAGGGAAGAGAACGCCTCTGGAGATTCTTCCTTTGTCACTGTAACGAGATCAGTCTGTGTTGGGAGATGTACGAGAGGCAGGTGAACAAAGGAGCTCGCGTCACGGACGGTGTAAGAGGCAGGAGTACTTACTATGCCTGACCTTCGACCAGGGATACACGCGTACAATGGTTGATACTGTATTGTCGTTAGCATAGAAGATGCGATGGAACATCAGTGTACACACCTTTCTCCCTGCTTGATACCAGAATGGACTGTGGTACCAGGGAAGTTGCACTTGCGCAAGAGGTTGTCGAGCTCTTGGCATTGCTGGGTCGAGCGAACGAAAGTGATGACCTGGTTGAACTCCAGCTCATCGAGGATGTCTTTGAGCTTCCTGTTATTCTTGCCAGAACCAGCGGACTTGTGATTGACAGACGAGACGCAAGAAGCGTGCATGTTGAGTGTGTGTACGACTTTGCCGTACGTCTTGTGTCTGAGACTGCAGCGCCAGCGAACACATCTCTCGTTGTTCTCTGAGCAGTTAAGATATACAGACGTGTTGTCACAGCTGATGTTCTTTGCGTAACACTCAGCACAGCCCATGACGCGTAGGGAGAGCTTTGTTCCTTCCGCTGGTTTGACCAAGCGAGCTGCGCCGCAGAGTGCCATAGAAATGTTGGTAGCACGTCCATCGTACTTGTTGATGGAGCGTTGTGTAGGTCGCGACCCAGGTCTTACGATGCTTTAGCTGATGAACAATGGCAATGAAAACAAAAACGTGGATTGAGCTGAGCGAAGAAAGCTGGACCAAACTCCAAAGGTGAGAACGTACCATTTGCACTTGATCATACAACAGACCGAGGATGTTTTCGGACACCTTCATATTGGGAGGGAGCACGCCTCCGAGAACGCATAGGGCCATCCTGGATGGCCCCCATAAACAGAAGGTAAAAGATAAAAAACATATATATATATATATGTGTGTGTGAAAAGGGCGACATAAAATTGCACTGTGGAAGGATCAATTCTTCGATACTACTGTAGCGCAGAGCGCTGTGATTTGGGAGAATGGAGATGAGGGGCAGATGAGGTGAGGGCAATGACCAGCTGCGTTTGCAGTCAAGTCGGTGGGATAGCAAGACTTACCATTTGAGGGAGGCGTGTGAGGGCAAAAGCTTCGCGGGGGTGAGGTGAACTTATATAGACGATCGGCCCGGGGCGTTGCCAAGGTGACGTGGCTTTCGGAAGTGACCTTGGCTGGAAATTGGCGCAAAGAGGCGGGGTGAAGGAGCCTGACGCAAGCAAGAGAGGCAGAACCCGCTCGCGTTTGTGCAGTTCTGGGTCTGTGCTCTTGTTGCCCCTGGCTGCGTCGGTGTAAGTGAAGCTCGAATAATCCCGCAGCGGCGAGACACTGTCTTTGAGACTTTCAAGTCATGGTCGTTACGGTCTGGGGGATATTGGCTACAGAAATTTCAAGACTTTTTGCTGCTTCCTCGATTGTCGACTCTCACTCCCAATGGTGGGAGGTGGGACAGTCGTCAGTGGACTGCAGTTGCGGTCAAGGTGCGGTTGCTAGACGTCTGGTAGTTGTGTAAAAAGTGGACAGAAAAGAGTGACGCATATAGGTGAGATGGTTGCACTATGCGTGGCAAGTGCTAGGCTGTCGTGCAGAAGGTTGATGTTGTGTATGACCTCGTGTTTTGTCCAAGTGCAATTTGTCGAAGCAGCGAACTTGCGAGCGCTCCGCGATATTGGCGGCGACGTACAGACAGTCGTCAGTGAATTGCAAAGGGACTGCAAATTACCCAGCCACAATTGACTCTCAATTGCTTTGGATGTTTGGCACCACCTGTAAACGTGCATCTCCGCATGGATCCAAGTGCAACGGCACGCACTGCTTGATTCAATTAGCTTCCAAGACAGCTGTGCAATGCCTACGCGTCGAGGACCAGGCTCTGACCCATGACCTGAACAGCGATTATGAACTACGTTCCCACTAGTCGTAGCATCAGAGAGCACTTACAGCCACATCAACGGCCTCAGACATGGTTGCGATCTCGGTGTTGAAGGTGTTGTGGGTAAGTGAGAGCTACATCTTTATTCCTACTCCCTCACCTCGAGGTTATATACACTGCAATTGCCTTCCTATTTGTTAAATGATAGGACTTATAGTTCAGTGGTAGAACGTTCGCGCCAACGTTCCGGTACGACCGGGGGACGAGCTTGTCTTGTGGCAGGTTCGTAGCTGGTAGCGAAAGCCGCGTGTTCGATTCACGCTAAGTCCGTTTTTTTTTCCTTTTGTTGTTGTTCTATGTAAGTGTAAGCTAGATAGCACACTGGATGTGGTTCCAGGACAGCTAAGTTTTCCTAGCATGTCACTCTTCTCAAAGCTATCAAGCGCGTGATCACAGATGATGGTCGTGATATCAGCTCTGTTCTTGACAACTACGCCTATTCTCAACGTTGGCCGCGCAGATCAGCGTTGATGTTGTCTTCGCCAACGCTGGATCTGCTCGTTCCGTCGTAGCTCGCCAGTAGCTGGGTTGCAACAAGTGCCCTGACGCGTCTGCTATCTATGGCAATCACAACAAACACTCGTTGCCTACGCCTTCACCCAATCACCTTCTATCGCAGAGCTCTAATTGAGACATTCTCACTGAGACAGCAGATAAGACCGCTGGAGACATGTGACTTGTCGGTGAGGGGTTGGCTGGAAGGTGTGAGGTGCAACTTATTTGCGTCACTTCGGCGTGCTTCTGCTATTCAGTGTTGGAGAAGGGGGCGAAGCAATTGCAGACTATGTAAAAAGAACAGCGGGAATCTGTGATAGTGAGGAGCTAATTTTCCAACCAACGTTTCATTTCTTACACTGTGCAAGGCGCAAACGGAGTGAAACGAACGGGTTTTCGCGGTTGGCAGAAGACCTGAAGAAGTGCCCGTCATACCAAGCTACTTTTAGTAATGTGTAAGAGAAACTTTGTTGCGCTTACCGTGGTGTCTCCACTGCCCTCATCCCTTCTACTCGCGTACCAGGTGTGACTATCGTCACCCTTTGTTTGTCAACAGCGCGCTTTGCTGCAGCTGATGCGTCACTCAATGCAGATTTCGTCGCCATCGAAACCTCAGCCCCTGCAAAGCCTCTCTAAAAATTCCCAGCTGTGCAGCTCACCAACGCAACGCTCGCACATGCAGCATTCCTGAGCAGCAACCTGCAGAATCAGCGGTGACCTCACAGCATCTCAGCACGTCCGACCGAATGCCAACGATGGGCGGACTTCAGAAAACCAACAGCAACCACAGCTAGTGAGCAGCTGCCTTGTGTCTTCAGTTAACTCTGCAATCTTGCGGTAGGCACCAGTCAATAGACGAGACTTGTTCTTCTTGCTCACACCTTGCAGTGTGCCCGGCGTCCGGTCGGAGAGGACAAGGTTGTTTACCTACACAATGGAGTCCTTGTTAGTCGTAGGAGCCGTTCCATAAGCGTTGCATCTTGTGGTGAGTGAAGCCCGTGAGCAGCAGCGCGTGCTTTCGCGGTCTAACGATTCACCCACCAGAGTCGCGAGTTGTATGGCATCGGCTGAGTAACAAGAGACCAGCCTGGCCAGAACTCTTCACTCCTGACACTTCATGTTGCTGTCCTGATCTCCTCAACCAACGCATACCGGTAGATACCCTGTAACTTGCTCCGACCACCGCTGGTGGCCACAACAGAGAAGCAACGCCCTCGGTGGTCGAAGACACTAACTGGACCACCTGATTGCCCGTTGAATCGAACGTGGTCTATCTCAATTCTGCCTCTATTTCCACAACCCTGCGAATGTTGATGTGGAGACGTCGTGGAGATCTCGCAGCTCCGCCCTCGACGCAGCAACCACGACGCCATCAAGTCCAATCGCCTCACATACTACCCATTCTCCCACAAAACCTCGCAATCACCCGTATACCCGGCATAACAGCGCCAGCTCCTTACAGTATCGATACTTCAAGCCAAGTATTGCAATCACGCTGCTGAGCAACATCCAACACACTCCGTACACTTGCCAGCAGACCAAGCTGTTCATTCACCCCACTAACGCGGATCAAGACAAGCTTCTCACGTTGCCATGATGAGCTGGCCTGCTGAGCTCTATTACGTTAAGACAGAAATCTAACTTTTAGAATCACACAAGGATACTAAGGTAAGTAAAGTTTACTTGTCTAAAGCAGAGAGGTTTAACGAAGTGCCTAAGCTACACTCGCAATACATATCTAGAGCTGACGAGATTTAGCTATATCTAACGCCAAAATAGCGGAGTTGGAGTAGATTGCTGTGAGTGATGGTGGTCTGGAATTGAAGGGCTCTGTTCGGGCAGGCGCCTGGCGAACTAACGATAACCCTTTCACCGTGTCCCCACTTCCACTTCTATCACCTTTCCCCTTCTCTTGTTTTCTCTCTCACCTATCGCGGTCTAAGGTGGAGCTCAGCGACCAGACTCATTCCTGCTGCTCAGTATAGCCTCGCGAAAGATCAAACAGCGCGTGCAGTCGCGGACGGAAGCAAGTGGCATTGCGTCACTGGCGCCCTAGTACCCCTCGCGGGAGAAGATGGGGCCGTCTAGACACTACAGCGGGCGTACACTTCTCTCATCGTACGTAGCTCTGTTCTGCTGGGGAGGGCTTGAGTGCCTTCCGGCGCGAACGCGAATGCACTGGGATGGTAGAACAGCTTACAACCAGTTCACAACTCGACCTCGCGACAGCCCTCAGCACAACAAGAGCCGCCATTTAAACCGCCACCAGACCAAGACCTCCTCTGCGCTTAGCACAGCATAGCAAGACTCGACCGACGTCCTCCCCTCCAGACCTACTATCTACCGCGCACAACCTTCGCTTGAAGCGGCTAACGACGCATAGAATACTTGAATCGGACCCCAGGGTTCGTGACACATACCTCGAACGCACCTCCCGCTCGTCCCAATTCCATCACATCGATACTTCAACAAACCATGGCTGCGGTTTGAGCGCAGTAAGGTTTGATGCCCTTCCCTCAGACCCAGAGTCTATTGAGTAAATACTTTGCTAACGAAGGGCGACAAACACGCAGGATATGTGGAAGGTGGTGGGATACAATCCCCCCTCAGCGCAGTACGTCCGTAAGCGACCGAGTCTTTCATACTCCTTCGCCGGTCGTGCTGCGCAAGAGCAACACCCCTCTTTTCTCAACCTCTCAATTATATCAGGATGCCATGGCCGTAGTAGTCGTCTGCCTCACAGCGGACTAGGCAGGGTCCGTCATAGTACATTGCATAATGTGCTCAATAGCTTGGGGCGGCCTATCGTGGTACTGGGGGGAACGAGATGGTTGAGAGAAAGAGGCCGACGTCGATGCGATACTCCGCCGGAGCACTGCTTTGTAGTGATGGCAGTCGGTGCGTTGACTCGTACATGTTTTTTCTTGCCCTTGATGTTGGGGATACCCGTTGCCAGCGAGCGGACTGAGTCGTCATTGCTAATTTGTGCGATGTGACTCCAGTCGGTTGGAGAGAGGGGGGCTGAGGGGCGCGAGATGGGTGCGGACAAGCGGAGGCGGAGGCGGAGATGGCTATGCCCTGTCAGGACCTGTTGGAGCACTGCCTTTGTGGGGATGGGGACTGGTGATGCTTTCTGGGCGGACTGTTGGCATCCATGGCCGTGTTGACGGGTTTTGAGTGTGAGGGAGGGAGGGAGGAATGGTTTAGGCGGCATCCGTGCATGCGTCCGCTCAGGCTATTGCAAAGAGTTGACGGCCTGCGAAGTCTAAGACACCTGTCGTACTTTCAAATTCCACGTCTCGACTTGGGTGTGGGTGAGTGGGCGGTCACCGATTTCGCAGGTAGATAAGACGTTGAAAGAAGTGGTATCAGCATTTCCGTATTCCTACACTAGACTACCCAACCGGTCAGAATGCCCATACCATACCATGCCATGCGGTGTCCCCTATTGTAGTAGACAACGATCAAAAGAAAAGGAAAAACAAAAAAACGCCAGGCTAATGCCATCCATCTCTCCCTTAAGTATACCCAATCCCATAACCCCAAAGAACATGCAAAACCCACCAAAAGATGACTCCGCAACCGACCCCAATCCACCTCTTACTCAATCATCAGCCGGCTCCACCCTCACAAGCACCTCCTCCAAGAACCCCTCCAGAAACCCCGCAACCTCGCCCCCCATGCCCACCTCGCCCTTCTCATCCCACCCATCCAGCTCTTGAAACTGCTCTGATATCCTCCCGACCAACCTCCTCACATGCTCGTGGCACTCGACGCGCTCCTTCTTGCGCCTCAGGTACCCATCTGGATCACGCATCGCCGACCCGGACGCCGCGTCTTGTTTGTTCATGAGGTTGAGGTGGTACGTGCGGCGGGAGAGCGCGGCTTCCAGCGCGGGGACGACGACGCCGGTGAGGGCTGTGATTTCGGGTTGGCTGGAGGACGGGGGGTTGAGGAAGGCGAGGTCGGTGGGCTGAGGCTTGATGCGGCCGAACGAGTTGCGGGTTTGGTTCGCGCTGGGTGGGGGCGCGAGATTTGATTTTATCGACGTCTGGCTGCCGTTGCGCGCGGGTGGGGGTGGCGCGTGTTGGCGCGGGTGGAGGGGGCCGCCGAAGAGGTCGTTGGATGAACCCGAGTCCGGTCGTGACGGCTTGGCGGGGCTGACTGGGGCGAAGGGCGAGTGTGGAGAAGGCAGCGGCTTTTGGCCTGTTAGAGATGGGAGCGCTTGCTGGCCGGCGAGGGATGGTAAGGGTTTTTGGGTGTGCATGAGCGGTAAGTGCGCTTGCAGTTGTTGACTGGTGTGTAAACTTGGACTTGGTAACGGCTTCGAACGCAACGACGTAGGTGTGCTTCCTCTCGAGTCTGGCCCTCGGAATGGGGGTATCTCGGGTATCGACATCTGCAGTACACTCCTCGGTGTGGGGTTGCGCTGCTGAGGCGCAAGTTCTATTTGTGCTACATCTTCGGCGATGGATCGCTGGATGTACTCTTCATAGGCATGCGCTAGAGGCGTCTGCCGGCGCGGCCCCTGTAGCTTTGGAGGAGAAGGTGTATTTGGGCTTCCAAGACCGCGATTCATAGGCGGTGAGAACGGGTTGGGAACAGGCGATGTTCGCAACGGCTCTTGCTTGAGCGGTGGGAAGAATGGTGCATTCTTCTTGTCTGGTGAAGGGGGCAAAGGTACCCTCGACGCTGTGTTCAATGATGTGGTGGGTGATGCGCCTGTCCATAATGGAGCTAGACGCTTGGTGGGCGAAGGCGGCGGGCTCGCTCGG